CGGAACATTGTCTACAGGGTGTGCCTGGAAATACACGTCCGCCGCCGGCGTCCTATTTTTCGGCCGAGCCGCTTAAAGCGCCGATTTCCGAGCGCGTCGCCGATCGACATTAAAGTCACGTTTGACATCGGTCGTCCTTCGTGGATCTATCGATCAATTTCGCCGGTAATAGAGGCCAAATCGAGCTTCGTTAAACTGTCAGCGGGACATAAATTTGGTCAGAATCCGAAAAGATACGCGTTGAATCGCGACAATTCAATTTTATCAAAATTTTATGGCCGTTTTTATTGCATCAATCAATACCTTTCATATCTTGCGCTGCATTGTTTCAAACAAATATTGCCGATACATTCCAAACTACGGTTGTTTGTTAATAGAGAATGGCCAATGGTGCATAGAGCGTGCGGAACGCTAGCTTTAAAGATTGAAATTGCAAAATTATAAAAATTGACGCTACACGTGCACGGGGCACGTCTATTGTCAAAGATGCCGGATGACATCACGGATAGTGCGCGACTGAGATTTAAGTGATTTTTAAGTGAGGCTTGAAGCTTCGTTGCGCCCGCAATTACATTACAATCTTCATTACTCGGATGCGTCACGACAAATAGTTAGCGAAACAGTTAACCGTTACACGAGCTACAAGACAGACATTTTTACTCCTCCAAGTATATTTCAACCGATACTTACGCGTTCGAATATGAACGAAAGCCTATCTCGAAATTGGTCTTTCAATTACCAGGACATTTAAGTATTAAAGCAGAACTCCAAGAACAATTGCCAGAGGAGAAACCGAACTCCAAATTAATGGAAACTGCGATGCCTTAGAGTTCTATATGTTTTTTTCGATAAATGCTCTCTAAAAGTCAATCAGTGGATTATCGCTGGAAACAGTGAATAGTCACTAATTGCCAGTTATAAGTATACTAGTGAAGATCGCGGCGGTACACTTATACCTGTAAATCAGTGACTATTCACTGTTATCAGTGAAACTCCGCTGATTGACTTTCAGAGAGCGGGGATAGAAATTAAAATAAAATTCTACAAGATACATTTGGCAGTTGAAAAAAATGTGCAATTTGAGTACGCGTGTTTCGCGGATGCTGCACGAGCCCTTTTACTTTGTCTCCGCCAGCCTTTGCGCCGGTAAGAGTAAGATTCCATATTGTTTTGTAAGGACTTGCCCGGTAAGCCGAGCGTAGAATTCGAACGTAAGAACCGTAGGAATAAGGACACACGCGCACTTACGTACATGTGAGAAATATCCATTCGCAATATGGTCCACGATTGCTCTTCGCGAGTTATGATATCGATTTTGCCTTTGGCTTAACGCGTGGTCAGGTTGAAAGCTAGAACGTATACAGGGCGGCCTGCAAGAGAACCATTTGCGAACAGCGAGAGGAATGAAGGGAGATAGCGAGCGCCGCAATTCGTATGCACCGTATCATTATGACATATAATTTGATAAATTTCGACGCATCTTCACTGGACTCCATAAAGCTTTCTCGCGCTTCTTTCATCCGAATGTTTTTCTATCTTGCAAAATGTTAAATATTTCGCTTTGCCGTGCGCGCGCGTTCATAAACAAAATGTATCTTTAAGCCTTTTGTAATCAAACGCGCCTTTGTGTCGAAATATTCGCCGCGTAATTTGCAAATTCACTTCGTACTGTGAAAAACATGCGAGTTCGTTAAATATTATCTCGCTCATTATTACATTATTTACACCGCGCGATACCCCGGTTATATGTAAATAATAAAACGACTTCCGAAAATTTAAGCAAGTTAAAACTGCATATATAAATGAGGTTTTTCAATCTGGTAAAACCATTTTTGCGGGCGTAACGAAGGGTGTAGTCGCGTTCGAATTAAGCTACGCTACGTTTGCGCGAAGCCTGCGATCGTTTTTTTTTTGAGTTTGCGGCACGTCAAATACTCACCGCGAGTCTTTCCCGCCCGAATATATTTTCTGATCGGGTTTTGCGGCGCGAGGTTGGGGATTACTAAATCAAAACTTTTATGCCCCGCGAGCTTTATCGCTCCGTCCACTGACGAGAGCGCAAATGGTGGGAACTCAAAGGCGGGCTCGCCACAAAAGGTGCTCGGTCTCTCGGGAGGGAGCATCGCGTAGGGTTAAACGGCGTAACGAGCCCGATCGTATGGCGCAAGACGCCATGGTGGATGTTCGCAGGTCGCCTAGCCGCATAGCCAGGGATTCGAATTTAATCCGGATTAGTTCGTAAGGGTCACAATATCCTCCCCCCTGGCTGCACCTCGTCGCCGTCCGCCCCGTCGGCCGTGCACACGGATGCGCGCATATAGACGTCCAGGTAAATCCGGACGGAACACACGCGGACGATTATCCTAATTCCGAGCTGACGCTTACGGCCCGCGGACTAAAAGGGGACAAACGGTCTCATCTTTCCGGCTCATCTTTGATGCATGCCGGCGCGAAATCATTTCGTGATAAAAAAAAATACACCACGGCAGGCTCTCTTACTTTTCGGACGTGTCCTACTCCCAGCCTCTTGTACAAAGAGCTTTAATGAGATCAGAATAAGAAACTAACATTGTTGTAATTATCATAATCCGTATCCCGCTTACGCGGAACCAGTTTTCAAAGTTTAACGTCGCTGCACGCGAAACGATAAAAATTATATCGGAGCTTTAACGCTGTCGTATATTTATACCAATTGTTATCGTCGCTCGTATAAATCTTATTTCGCGCTTTATCGGCCCAGGTACAAGTGGGTCGAGCTTTCGGAAATTGGAAGAATTTAAAAAAACTGTAGTCCCGACTAAGGCAAGGTGGAGATAAGAACTGAGAAAGGCAGAAAAAGGATCCACGCGGGCGCGGGGAGGGGAAGGATTAACTGTGACGCACGGAGATTTAAGGAGGATCCTCGAAATCCGTAGATTTAGGAAGTGCGTGCTTCTGTCCACCCGCATCCCCCATCGCGTCGCGCCACCCTTTTCTCCTCGCCTAGGTCGGGGCTGCAAAAGCAAATATGTACTCTCGCGCTCCCTGCATTCCTGCACGCCTTCGAAATGCCGAACTACAGAATACCCTCCTCCTCTCAAGAATACGTAAACCGATTTCTCTCTGGAAGTTGGCCGGAGAAAAGAGTCGCAGGAGGGCGCAGTTTGGCAACTTAATATGATGTACGGTGCAATTTCTTCCTTTTATATTCTTACTGTTAGCGGCGATAGCGTAGAAAACCAAGCGAGGGACGAAAGTAAAGAAACGCACAGATTTAACGACATGCAAGAGCAAGTGAGAGATCAAACGAGTATTTAATTAGGATTTCGATTTTGCGCGACGAGATTAATTTCCAACTTTGTGTATTTTCTGTGGGAGACAAAATGCGCGGAAAAGAGATATCGACTACCTTTGACGCCCCACTTTTTAAATGAATCTCAATTAAAAGGAAAAACGTTTTTAGAAAATGCAACAAATTGTTATATCGTACAATGAGGTAGCGTTGCAAACATATACGTGCATGACACGTTTCCTTCAATATGCAAAGACATTTCCAGGGCAGATAACTCCAAACTAATTTAGATTTGAGAAAATATAATTTGCCGATTGCGTTTCATTGAGCAGTAAACGTGCTGCAATTTACGCATTTAATTCTTTCGCTGGGCGTAATTTAAAAATGTTATTTAAAATATTCGAGCGCTAAGCATTTGAATAGCATTTAATTCTCGCTACAAACGGACGCGTGTAAATTGTTTCCACCGCATTATCGAGGATCAAGGAAATTCCGCCGATAGTCTATCTCGTTTACGAGCTTTAACGACCCCTCTCGCGCGACCTCCATCGGGTACGTATGTCTTCGTCATTCTTAGCGGAAGCGGACTTTATGGCGTGGCAACTGAGTTTCTGAATTGTCGCGAATGAAATAAGAGCATCGCAAGCAGGTTTTTGTATCCTGTAAACCTGATCTATCTATGTGCTCGTTGCGTCTAGAAACATTCTGTTTTACATAAGTGAATCAAAACGCTTAAAAAACTTGTCAACAATTTACGATTGTACAATGTGTAATGTACAATTTATCAACTTGCACACATTTTTCGAACGTATTTGCTGGCTACAAAATAGAATGCTTCTAGACGCAAGGAGCACATTGTAGATTAGCCTGCAATGTTATTGGGCAACAACCTCTTTCGCAACAGATAGATAAAGGGTGACAGCGTTACAATGCTATCGTTGTATCTACAAATCACGGTGCTTGTAATACCATAAGTAGAGTTGCATTAATTGTTCCCACCTTTTTACAAACGGACAAGCGATATCACGTGGCATCGAGTGGACCAAAAAAAGAGAAAGAATTAAAATCGAGGGTATAAAATTGTTTCAGCTTCGAATGCACATTGTTTTCTCCCGTTGCCTTCTTATTTATTCCGCAAGAGCCATATCGGCCTTCGCCGGACGCTAGACAGCGACGACGATTAACGCCGCTTCCGTTCCGCAGAATGCATTAATGGACGTAAGATCGTTGCCGCATTTTCCTCACCGCCGTCACCCGAGTTATCCCGACCGAGTTACGCGTTTTAAAGACGTTAAGGCTATTTTCGCACGACTCGGTCTCTCGTGAGAGGTGACTTCATTCATCCGACAAATCGACGATTTACGGCCGCGGGAATCCCGTGCGAGCCGCCCTAGATGCAAACCGAAGTAATGGGGCGTATACAGATGCACTCGTAGGGATAAGACGGCGAGGAAACAGGAAACGTAGGGTGAACGTTCGATACAAGACCGATATCTTCGTTGCATTATTTCGCGATAATCTTAAACTATTGTAAAAACTATTTGAAATATAATATCACAAAACGTGTCGACTCTCAGTCAACGATCTTACAAAATACTCAAACTTCATGAAGATTAAGTATTGACAAGGGGCGTTGCTATTGTAGCTTGATTCTTTGCGGGCAATTAAAAAATCAATTATAATATAAGCCATAAAATATGAACCAGAAAATACGAGAGGAAAGAAATACCTGTGCTGGAAGTGGATTTGCTGAGATCGAAGCCCTCCTGCTTGGGACTGGCGTTGATTTCTTGCTTCGGATGCTGGTTGTGCGCGGAGAACGGTGTCTGGGGTGCACTGAGAGGTGTCTGCGACTGCAGCGGGTGCACCGACGGGTGCTGAGACGCGTTCTGCGGCTGAGACTGCTGGGACTGATGGGACTGAGGGCTCCTCGGTATCGAGGACACACTGCTCGGCCTCGATGGTGGTGAGGCCTTGTGCGTCAATGCCAACGCTTGGCTCTGTAATCGCGGGAGAAGATCAATTTTTTTTTTTAATTTTCACGACTCACTTGTCCGTGAATTTTTCTTATTTCCTTATTTGGTTCGCTAATTGATTTTCTCTTCTTTTCTTTTTACTAGATGACTAATTAATACTTTTAATCTCGTATATTTGTTGATTTGCGGTATTGTTACTGGAAAAGGACCCGAAGTAAGCTCGAAACGTTGTAACGAACCCAATAAAAGTTGCCAGTTGGGTTGACAATGAGCTCACTGTTTCAATCAATTTTTTTTCTCTTATAAATTCACATCGCACAATAAATACGCGATTTCGGCGCAGTACCAGCCGAGATGGACTACGTAGAACCGTCACCTGTACGCACAAATGTCGCGCATTTATTCTGTCAAAGAGGAGAAGCGGTGGAAAGTGATCCCGCCTATTTAAAAGAGTACGAGAATGTAATATGGATAAATTCGATAAGCTCCACATTATAGAATATGAGAATCTTTTTATGCGCCGAAAGGACGCGAAAGAAAGTTTAATACCGGGAAGCATGATTTGTACATTTTTACGCTTATTACTCAGGCAACAAGTCCCTGGCTTCGACATTGTCCTCGGCGAAGTTTTACGGCAAAAGTATTTTCTACAAGAGCACGTTATGTAAATTATTGTGATGTTTATTTCATCGCTCGTTTGTGTATAATCCAACGAGAGTGCGGTAACCGCCGCGGGGTAATATAAATCCTTTGCTGTCCTTAATCTCTGAAGACAAAATTCCTCGGCATATCGTGCTTCTAACGGTCGCATGACTTTTTTACAGGAGTGATTGCTATAAAAGTTTTTCACAGAAACGTAGCCCCTGCTAATCCCCGCGCAAAAATAATAAAAATTTAATACAAATACGTAAATTGATATGGGCAACTTAATTTTCACAGGTTGAATTATCCGAATAGTGGCGTTGTATCATTGCCGAAACGCGCCGAGCTACGACGAGCAATTGGCTAGGATCTGCTTCTATAACAAAGAAAAAGACGCTAACTCTCGCGCGCGAATTAACTATGCGCGATTGGAGGCAATCTAGCGATTAAAAAAGCCTTCGGCGGCAATTCACGGTGGGAGCGTCGCCTAAACGCGGTCAAATCTACGACGTTTCGGTCGGGCCGAGCGAGCCGGATGATCTAAGCGTCGTCGCCGATGAAATCTGAGCACGTGCTCAATTCCGAGCGGCGGCCAGGCTAAGGCATAAGCGCGGACTTAGATTTATGTATGAGTGAACTGAACTTAACACTAACGGCTAAGCCGTCCACGGTGTCAACTGGGGTCAACTGGGCCCAGAATGCGACAATCCTACACCACCGCCGCGGCCAGCAGCAACAGCAGCAGCAGCAGCCGCTGCCGTCGTCGCCGCCGCCGCCGCCGATGTGCGAGATGCACCGAGGAGCGATCATTTTCGGCCTGGAAACTGGATCGTCGATGACGCCTCCGTGGAATACGGAGCGTCAGGCGGCGGAACGAGCCGAGATGCGAGGCGGCGTTTAACCCTCCGTGATCCTCCGCGATTTCCCGCCGCGTCTCGTGTTTGCTCGCAATAAGCGATTTTCGCGGGTTACTTAGCCTCATTATTTAATTATGAAATGATAAAATTTAATCGGCCGACACACACACGCGCACGCGCCACGTGGCGATCTTGAATAATCGATGGCGACGAGCGTCGCGTTAATTGCTGCTCGAAAATGGCAGTCCCGATTCTCAATCGAACGGATCGCACGGGACTCATTTTATGTCTGTACAAATTAATTCTATCAGCTCGCAAATCGACCGAACTTTTTTCACCTTCTTTCAGCAACGAAGCCTTTACTCGCGTATCTTTATTCGAAGAAAATAATACGACAACAATGCGTAATCATTGAATTCAGACTGATAGAAAAAGAAATATATATTTCTCTTTCCGTCCAGCCTTTAATATCTTTACACGTTGCCTTTCTCATCGATCTATCGGCTGCAACGGATCAAACCAGCGATTTTTTCGCTTGCCCGGACTGTACCGGGGTACCAGCTACTGTTTCGGGAGCTCTTCGAGGTATGCACTCGCAAAAAACACGTCAGACCGCTGAAGACCCGGGCCTGCCTCCCTGGGACGGGAGTGAGCGAGAGGAACAAGATGATGAAGAAGAGGAAGGAGGAGGAGGAGGAGGAAGGAGCGGAGAAGCGGGATGCCTGAAGGTGCCGAAGAGGGCGAGGAAGGGAGACGAGCGCTGGTCGGCGTCGTTGACGGAAGAGAGACGGGGCGGGAAACGACGGGCCCCGAGGGTCCATGTGGATCGGAGGAGGATGGCGTTGGGTCCCCGGCTCGTTTCCACGCGAGGAATGAAGACGAACGCGAGACTGAAAGCGGGAGCGTGTAAGAAGGGGCAACAGGTGGATGGGGTTAGCGGCTTATCCGGCTAACGCCCCAAGTGATATCGCGGTAACTCTGCCGTGACGCGCGAGGGGTTACGACGTTGTTGTCGTAAAATCAGGAATTTCGGCTCGCTCATCGATCCGACGTTTCGCCGCGGTTGAGAACTCGCTCGGCCTCCCGTGGAATCGCGCTGCCCGCAGGCCCGAAGAAACGTCCGGCGCGAGGAACACGGTCCTCCGAAAAAGTTCTCCCTCGAGCGATAAGAGCCCGTCCCTTATCAGGTGCCACGTTAATTGCGCGGTAATTAATTCGTTGGCGATAGCCACGTTTGTCAGGCGGACCGACGAGGACAACTGGCATGTTCAGCAGAGAGATGAGATGAAGAGTACGAAGAGGAAAGCTTGCGATAATGACTGTCGAAACATTTTCGCGAGTCGTGTTATCGCCCTTATTAAATATTGACCAGACAAAAGTAGCCGCTTAAATTGAAAGGGGCTTAAAACTGTGATGAAATTCGTTAAGAATTTTTCAGTAAAATGATATCTGCCGTCTACTACTCGCCAACGTATCGCTGGTACAAAAGGCGGCGGATGCTGCGGGGACTCGTCCAATTTGGCCGAGCCAGCGTCAATTCGCACTAACGTGTCCTCCCCTCGCGTCCCCCCCGAAACGTACGTGAACCGTGACGACTGTAAAAAATGGAATGGCAAATAATTAACCGCGAAGCGCGAGCGCGACATGGCGTCGCGGACGACGACAGTTCGGCAGGCGTTTATCAGCGGATCAGCTTATCTACCGGGTGTAACGGAGATACGTAGCGATGGCGTTTCCTGCTGGTGTGTTTCCCGTTAATGCGATAACCTTAATCGCTGACCGTGCCAGGATCCGCGTGGACCCGGAGAGGCGGCGATGGAGCGAGTTTGACAGAATTCGACGGAACGGCGCGGCGCACTCCGGACCGTCCGCGCCAAACGAGCTTACGTAAGGCCGAATCGCGATGACAGTCTTTAATATTTGGCCAATTGAACGCGTGGTCCTTTTCGGCGTATGTCTTACGTCAGCGGCGTCGTCCGTCCGGCCAATTCTACCCGTCAAAATGAAAAAAAAGAGAGAGAGACAGAGACAGAAGATTCACGACGTTCTCTCGCGTCATCGTACGCGAAGATCCTTTCTTCTCGCCTCGTCGCGGTTTCTGCGACGACGTTCGACGCGCGCAAATTATCGGGCTCTCGTCCCGCTTGTCTTTATTAATTCTTCGAATGCTGCATTAACCCGCTGAGCGCGCGCGTCATGAAAATTCGCGCTGCGAGCGACACGCCGCCGACATTCTCGCAGGATGTGAGATCATTTTAATCGCGTTTCTCATTCAGAAATAATTAAAGCGGAAATGCTCAAAAGGGAATGGCAGCTATCGATTTCGAAATTCTTTCGGAGCCTGTCGCTTCACGATCGACAAATCGAAACTGGTCTCGAAACAAGGAGCGAGTCATTCGCGTTTGGAATTCTTTGCGGTTCTCTATTGATCCAATAGAAATTTCTGCTGAAAAAATTCTAACTAGTCCGGCAGTTAGCCGGCCTTTTTTATCGCGGAGAATCGAATTCTCTTCGAAATTTCCCAAATAAAAGACTGGCATCGTAAGTGAAACTTTATGGAAATTCGGTAATAATGATGTAATCGTTTCGTAATTGTTAAAGAGATAAGCCGGTACACTTTTATAGAACATTGGAAAGCACTCGCCGGCTTCTAATCTCCATCGATATAATAACATGCAGCGCGCTGTGTACTAATAACAATTCGTAAATCTACTTAACAAAATTTCAAGCGATTCACTATCTGTTTCAGGGCCCGTGATAATTTCGCTATCTTTCGGCGGTCATCGCATGAAACGGAATTAAATGTGGCGCGACCCACATTAATCTGCAACATTCTAATCACGCTTATCGAAATATCGAGCCGCCGATATCCCCGAGCGATAATTGGCTGCCTCTTTGTGACAGATAATCCGCGGATTGATGCGTTTGCGATCGCGTTACGTAAACTGTTGCCGACTGTGGTGTCAGATACCTCGTTCCTAAGTGCAAAACACGGTAGAGCTAAAGATTAGAAAGCAATAGATAGGATCTTGCAGTGATCACCAGCAATGATCACTGATTTCGAGGGTCTACTGGAGAAAGCGGCGTGGGTACAAAAATCTCAAAATTACAACTCGATTAGCCGTACGCATAAATCTTCTTCGGCAGAAAATTGATAAACGCATTTCAAGCTTACTTAGCGAAACGTTTACATTAATATTTTAAAAGAAAAATATAATATTTCCATAACAATTCAAGCTGAATATAACATATCATAATTTCTGAAATCTCTTCTCTCTCTCTCTCTCTCTCTCTCTCTCTTCGAAAAATCTAATTGTTTATTACGCAAATGTTCATAGAAGAGTTGCTGTTGCGTATTCTGATTAAAAATTAATACGACACAAAAATACGAAACGATACTCTAATAAAGTTATCCGGCTCGAGGCCAGTTTCATCGCCGTAGCCAATTTTTCCTCGCAAAATATTCACCGAGAAAACAAAAGATCGTGTCTGCGGCATAAAAAGGCAACGTAAAAGGCCTACAGAGAGAGGACCGCGAGCTCTACCTGCGTTTGATATATCGGCTTCGGTGGCCGGATAGATGGATTACAATCATTCCGGGAGCTGGGGTGGTCAAATACCGTGACCATGCGTGTTTCAAACGTATCCTCGTGCACGCACACGTATACGTACGACGCACTTTCGAGTACACACGTGGCGGCCCGTGCGTGCACGGGCAGTCCTGCGTGCAACGCGCTGCAAGGACGCGTTTTCAAGTGCCAGAATGCAGAAGGTGCGTCGCGGCAGCGTGAAAATTTTACATCGCGAGCTCGCTCCACGCCGACGTTTCTCCGCCGTTTCGATATCGCGCGGCTTAAAAATCAACGTTACGTTTATTAACTACTTACGTTTATTAAGCGTTACAGATCCCGCTGTTATACACTTGACGGCGGCAGAAAAAAATTAATTAACGCCGACACGTCACGCGCCTACCCTCCTTTTTCCTTTCCCGTCTCGCGCGCGATCATTGTGCTCGAGTCTCGCGATCGCTCGGGCGCTTTGTTACAGCCGCAATTGCTGTTATTTACGCATATTAATTTGCCCCTTTAACGGCCAGATTTAAATGACTGTAATGCGAATTATGAGGACTGAATTTAGAATTTTTACACATTCCGTAATCCAGGTTAATGTATTGTCATTACGTTCTCACAAGAACAAACTATAAAATGGGTCTTCGTGCGCTAATGCCGCAAACGTGAAAACAAAGCTTCATGTGTGTCGGATTAAAAGCATTATTCTCGGCCTTTGACTTCTTTTCTGAAATACATCTGTATGGATAATGCATCTCCCGAGGTGCACATGCTCTCATATAAGTTGAATGGATAACTTTTCTCTCGAAAAGTGTCATTTGCACTTGACTACAATAATTCTCCAAATAAAATGTATAACCCACAATGTGATCCATGTTATATGATTCGCGTGTGTCGTATCGACGACTTTCTAAAACAGATGACAAAGTACAATGTCCCAATATTACCGTTTCTCGCCATCAATCTGTCATTTCTTCTCCAAACGCCAATTTCCAATTTACTCCAATATTTTTCGCAACAGTCAAAATGTAAGCGAAACGGAGCGCGTTACGTTATCGCGATGATTTTACATTAATTTATCTATCCCGACAATTTGTGCGAGTGGTGTTTTTTTCCCCCCTTCGCGAAAGGAGTTTTTTTTTATCGTTGATTTTTTCGATAGCCATGGTAAGCCAAAGGCGGCCATGGATCGAGAGATCGAGCGGTCAATGGAGACATGCGGTCTTATTCCGTTGAATGCCAGAACATGAACATGGTCGTGGCACAGGAAGAAGGCAGGGGCACATCCGTATCGTGGTCAGAACCCGTGACCCCCCGATACGTACATACACGTGTAAACGTACGCGCTGTTCGTCCAGCACAGCGCACACGCGCGCCGCGGCTTTGCCAAGGATTATCCCCCGCCCTACGTTGCCCTCGGTTTTCATTGTGAGATTGCGAAGCGTCGGATATACGCGCCGGATCTGAATTTCGTACGCGATTTTTGATGCGGAGAATCGAGTCTAAATCCGCGCGAGTGCTCGCGCTGCGTTTAAACGGATAATTATTTCCTTCCCATGCGAGATCATACGTCTGATAAACAATGTGTGTTTTTTTTTCGTATGCCGCATAGATGACGTAAATGCCTATCTAAAGGTATATAAATATGCCTGCTCTATATTTCTTTTTATTTCGACTCGAATGCGCGTTTCGAAAGGTGAGGTCTTGAGGTGAGGAGATCTCGCGCTGCTGAAGAAAATAAAGATTTCCGTTTGAATCTATCGGAATTTTTCGCCCTTTCTCTACGTGACGTTCCCAGTTTTATTTCATGAACGATCGCGCGATGTAGAAGCGACGCCTCCCACTTATTTTAGATACTGGGATAATCGCGCGTTCACTTATTTTAGATACTGGGATAATCGCGCGTTACACGTGGAATGACCAGCCGCTTTGAGATGCGAAAGAATCTGCCAAATTGATGACGAGGAATTAAGCGGACTGAAAGCGCGTCCAGAGAGAGAAAGAGTGAGCGGGGTGCAAGAAGCGATAGGGTGGCCAATTGGCTGTGTAATGTCAGAAAGGGGTTGCTTCTCGCCCCTCGTACTCGCTTGACACCGGGTATAGACGCTGCGTTATTTTTATAAGTTCGGCAGACCGAACGCCGAAAACGACGCTGGCGCGCTAATCCACGGCGTAAACCGTTTTATCGGAATTTTATATTCCTCAGTCAAATTAAGGTCACGTATTTTCCGTAGAGCTGTAATTTTTCGCCGGTCCCCCAGATATCAAAAATGTTTCTGCGACTTTTGTAAAACGGGATTTCGAATCCGGCACAGATTTTACTTCGATTACGCTTGGATCTTATTAATCTGCTAATAAAGAGTTTAACTGACGAAACTTCGAAGCCGTGCAAACTACAGATCACGAGACACGGCAGTGTCTCGCGCCAACTGTAATCGCAGCTAGAACCGCGCGCGCGAGACCGACCGTGTACGTTCGTTTACGCGAGTAATATTTACCCCGGCTGAGATAATATTTCTCGCAATAAACTTAAAATAAAAATTAGACACTGACGCCCTGCCACGGCTCTTCAGTCTTTATTCCCTCGAATTTGTGTTGATCACGTGACAGCCTTATGGATTTGATTAATTTGTTAAAACATATTCAGCTCTATTTTTCCTTTCTCTCGTGCGTTATCGCAGAAAAGGCGAGTGCTCATTTTCAAACTGCGCTTGTTCTTAATCAAAATTACTCTTAAAACATGTAATACGCTCTCGTGAATCTTTGAATTAATACTGCCGTAAAACGCAAACAGTAACAACGCCGTATACTTCTTTCGACATCAGTTTAGATTGCGATTCAGGATTGCGTTTCAAGACCAAACGTTATCGGGCGCGCTGTGTTGAAAAAAAGATGTGTATACGAAAATATACTGCGCACTAACAAGCTAGCTACGTTCCAGCCCGGTCGTATGAGGCATTGTTATTGTTTGTATCGCTCATTAATTCTGTCGCACGCGTTTTCTACGATTTTAAGCATGCGTGATCGACAATACCTCATGCAGTCTGAGAGAAAAATGAAAGGTCACCTGTACTTGTTCCGTCTTCGTGTTAGCAGCCATCCATGCCTCTACAAAGGTGTCCATTGCGCTCTGAAAATCCATTCCCTCCTGGGGCCTCAATAAGTCTCCTGGGCCTCGGAAGTCGCCGCCATTCGTGACATATTATATTCGAATTCTCACAAACTCATAGCGTCAATTTGAGCCCTGACACTTTTATTAATTAAGAGCCGAGCGCGATCGAAAAGTTGTTGACAGGACTCTAAAGCCGAGTGTCAGTTTTACTCGTCTCCTAAACTCCGATCACTTGGAGCACCGGTGCGCCTGCGATAAGAGTCGCGCGGGAATAGCGTAAAGCTTATTTACGAACGAAATCACAGACGTGCTGAGACGTTTATGAAATGTTCGCTTATTTACGTGGATGTAGTTCTTTTACTGTTACGAATTCTTAATTTCTAGCTAATGTATGCTAACGATTAACGCGTGGGCGATCATTTCTCTTATACCGAAACGACTTACGCACCTACAGTCACTACAATCTGCTCTAAGTTCTATTTTGGTATTAGCATGAAATATTAAATATACGATTAAACCGCGCGTAACCCTGACTAGACTGCGGAAAATCACACACGTGCTCGCGACTCATTACGATAAGTATCGTCCGGAGTAAAATCGGAGTAAATAGAGCGGCCTACAGTCTCGTCCCGTTTCTCGATCACCAATCGGCACGTCCGCCCGTTCAGAACGTCACGTACACAATTCTGTACGCCGACATCGATCGCAGTCTCTCGATCGAACGATCACAGGATCAGTCGGCGTCGCCGGTCATCTCCCTGAGGTAGCCACGAGACACTGTCTCGACGCGCGTAGATCGTCACCAGTCATCAGCACCGAACATGTGCGTGGCTCTGCGTGCTCCGAAAACTCGGACTGGATCGATCCCTCCGGTTGTTTCGGCTCGGGGGGGAGCCTCTTCGGAGCGGCTCGGGGATCACGATCGCGCGAACGTCATCGCCTCCGTCCCGTCCCAAGTGTATCTCTGGAAATCGCGTGCGATCGCCGGACACCGACGGAATGTCATTCGCGCCGCCGAGGACGAGCGCACGGTCCGCGAGGACAACACACGTTCGGTGAGAACGGCGTTCGAGCCGCGACTGTGCGCGTCGAGGCGTCGCGGCGCTCGATCTGCTGCCCCTACGACGCCCTACCCGCGAGCGCGCCGTCGGTATCAACCCCACCACCCGGTCGTATCGCTGCCGCTACCACTGCCACCACCCCACCATCGCCATCGCCACCACCACCTCCATCGCCCGCCGCGATACCGTCGCGTCGTCTCGCGTTTACCGATATCGCGCGGCCGAGTGCCTCCTCTGGTCCTCACTCGGCTGCTGGCTCACCCTCTCGCTCGCCGACTCCTCCGGAACCCACCTTCGCCGTACCCCCCGCTCCCTCTTATCCTCCCCCGATTTCGCTACGGAGCTTCCTCGCTCCGGATAAGGCGTCGTCCCTCTCGCGCCTTACCGCCTCCTTCGCATTCTTCTTTCTTCCTCGCATTAAATTCCTTCCCGCGATCGTACCCTCGTCTGTTTTTCTACCTTCTAATACTGCGTTAATATTACAATTGTAACGCGCCTTTAACCGCTGAAATTGCTGCGTAAGATCCACGAGGAAAATTGTACATTTCTCCAAAGTCCAATAGACATTTTATTATTTTTTCCAAGTTTTGTTTCATTTGTAGTCTTATTTCAATTAGTTTTGTATCGCGCATTTTTTATCATGTCACTCGTCCGTCTTTTATCTCGCTTCTCTCATCAGTATTCCTACTTATCTGTCAAAATATTCCCTTTTGGGACTACCAATTCTCTTTCTCCGGTCCAACTTCTCGCTCATATTTATACTTGTTTCCTCCCGCCGTGGAAGATCCGCTCTCTCATCCCGCGCCCATCTCGCCCTCTTTCTTTCGAAATCTTTCTCCGTCGAATTCGATTCTCTTCCCCGCACCCACTTCGGCACACCCCCACCAAGATCCGTTCCGGGGGTGTGTCTAAGGATAATATACACGTACACCTGTCCACCTGCAACACGTTCTTCTCCGTGAGAGACTCGCGACTACCGATGACCGAGCTTAAGTGCGGAAGAAGCAGGGAGCGATATCTATGCCACCGCATCGAATTTTTTTCGCGGTCGCAATTGCGAAGCATCGAAACAAGTTTTTGTATCCGCGGGAATTTATATCAAATGGGCTTCCGGACGAGCTTCATCTACAACATTTTCCCTTAAATTATCGAAATTTGAAATAACTGCGCCGAGTAAGGATCGATAATCTACGAGTGCCGTACGTGGCGCATACGTATATGAATTATTACTCGTGGGACAGATTAATTCTATAATTTTTCTCTATTACTTTTAAACAATTTCTAACTGTATGAAGTACGGTACATTTTTTACTACATACTTTTGGATAACTTGAACGTGTGTACATGTGTAATAATGCATAGAAAACAGAAAAGCGCATAAAGTATATTACATAATGTCAAAATGTTGCATGTGTAACAATATCTGAGTACGCAGCAATAAATGATTAAATATGACGTTTGAACCAATCGATGTCTTTAATTCTCGCTTTTGTGATAAGAAGCAACAGATGCGTATTCGGATTAGAAATTGATTCGATAGAATCATTCTTCAACCTTCATAATAAAAGTGATCAAGATCCGATACATCGAAATCTCATCCATTGATAAACAGATTAATAAGCTAACATTGAGAAACCTATGTCTCCTGATAGCTGTTGAGCCACAGTATAGTTTGCGACATAACTTTAAATCAACTTGAGAGAAAAATCTCGAATAAATAAGAGAAAATGTACTAAAAAACAACATGTTACATAACAGTATAAGACAAATATAAAGGAGAAATTTACATTGCAAAATATTAACATTTGGAATTTTGTTTGAATATTGGTAAATGTCTATCTGTGAATGTTCTTCGTTATATGCGAAGAGAATTTTCTCTTAAAATTTATCCTGAAAATTATGCGATCGTGGGACAACGCGGCGTTTCGAAGAATTTTATGAAAGTTTCCTGAAATTTTACCACACATTTTACTAGTAAAATGTATAGCAAAATTTCAAAAACTTTCATAAAATTCTTCGCCGCGTTGAGGACAAATTTCAAGAGAAAATTCTTGTGTGTATTCTTATAGCTAAGAATGGATAGACTTCACCAATATTCAAACAAAAATCCCAATGTTAATATTTTGAATTGCAACTTTCTTCTTTGGCTTTATCCGATTAATCGGCGAAAATGATCTTAGATTAAGGTGGCGGTAATTAATTTAGAAGCAGCTTTCTATCGATATGTTGACTATGGTTCGCTTCATGCTACTAAAACGGATCGTTCGAAACTGAGAGAGCCTCAAAGGAAATATACACACGCGTATACGTGCATACATATACTCGCGGCTCCCTGTAAACGTCGCCGCCAGATTAGACAATATCTGGGAATTAATTTCCATAGAGAGGACAAAAGTAGTATCGTCACCGATTCGAGCAGTGATCCACGAATTTTCGGTGCTTCGCGAGCGCGACGTCCTTCCCGATTACATCCTTCCGCGTTTGCATATGACACACGCGCTCTCGTAATGCACGTATACGGCTTCGCCACGTAGGATGAGATACGAAACGGGGCGGTGTCGACGTGCTGCTAGACTCGAGCACGTTATTATCGTCTGATAATCCGCTGGAATTAGGTAAGTTCGTAACTCAGCCTGACCGTTTTATCACCGGATTAACGATGAAATCAAGTATTTGTGGTATAACCGTGGGATATCTACGAGGATCGCCAGATAATGCAGCGGTTACGTAACCGGTGGCAAAGTTTATCCGATAACACTTTTTATCGACGATTTTGCCCAATCAATCGCCACGGCGAAAAATCGGCTCGATGGGATGGGCTTTTGTCTTTCCTCTCTGAGCGTGCATTGTAAGCGACACAGTAAGGATATACCATTTACGACATCACGGATTATCGTTTCCGGAGTTCTCCAGTTTTCGGTGGTCGACTCTAATAATAACATCTTAAAATATAGTCGATATATTTTGTCGCCTATAAAGAACGAATTTCTGAATTTATCATAACTACAGTTACATTGAATTAATACAGTCGAGTAAAACCGATCTCGCGTTACCCACGTTGATTTGGCGAGATAAAAAAAATTCGCGCGGACAATCATACGGCTTAATTGTTTCAATAACGTCCGATTGGTATACTGGATAATCCTAGGATTAAAGCGAGTGCTCGGGAGATAATGCCTTATTCATCCGTCGTGTGCCGTTCGATATTGCTTTTACGTGACAGAACGGCTGCGTTAATTCTTTTTCATAGAAATTATTTAATTGAGTTTGAAACAACACAGAGAATGGTTTACCGCTGTTACAATAGCGCGCGCCAGACAAAACCGCAACGGCAGTTAAAATAACGCAAACAACAATTCAATTAAGTAACTTAATTAAGACCTTCAAGTCTTTCAATGCAGTTAATCAGATCCTGCGTTCAATTTAAATGTATTTTTTTTTATAAAGTAAAACAGGTTGTTTAAAACCCATCGAAAGTAATTTTGAATTATTCCCATTTTTGAATATTTGTCTTTCCATTTTACTCATTGTGCGCTTTCACATTATTGTTCATCCTTCGGAAACATATTTGGAAACGTATATGACACATGCCTGTCGCACGTACTTTCGCGCGCACCACCGAAAACAGCGCGTGTAAATCCCCAGACAAATTTGTCTCGACAGACTAAGAGTCTAGCGAGATTTCGTTCGCCGAGATACAGCATTTTACACTCGCCACATCCGAGCGCTTTATTTCGCGGGGGTAGACGGTAACCAGACGCGTCATAAACGCATCTGCACCTTATCCCACCGTTACGTCTTAATCCGTTCTGATCCCTCCTGCTGCAATTCGAATTTCATTAGGTATTGAATCATAAGGGAGCCTCTAAGAAGTTTTCAATCGTATCAACGTTAAGAAGTTTCAATCGTTTCAACGTTACAGATATCATTGAAACAAAATTTCAAGATTATCTCTTTCATTTAGTCCTTTCCATCACTTTTATATACCTACGATTGTTAAGTGCAAATATGAAATAAAGGATCGACCAAGTATTAGACAATCTCTATTAACAAAGCTGTCCATTCCTAGAACGAAATAGATACGGGGAACATGATTCATTGCTACCCATGCATATCAAGCGCTTTGGAAATTACTCATTCTCGGTGAATGTTACTGGTCAATGTACCCGGCATCTAATCCCGCATCGCTGATTACGACGCCGAAGCCAATAAAGCATCGTAATCAAAAGCTTCGTCTCAAGCATCCCCGTCGCAGTCCGGCGGTGCATTCTTCGTTTCGCCAACGGAACCGGCGTCAGCTATTCCTTTAACGTATACCAGCCACACGCACATGTACACGCGCTCGCGCACCAGCCGCTTCCGAGGGAGAAAGACGACGGGGGGGGGGGGGTGGAAACACGACAGTGGGGTAACGATTGCATCCGCGGATGGCTCTGATGCAATCTGTGTGCAAAGCGGTCTAAAGTTGCAACTCCTACGACGGAGGGCTATGGGTGGGTACGTCGCCGAACCGGGAGAAGGGAAAAGGAAGCAGGGAGCAGGGGTGGGGGAGCAAAGGGGGTCTTGGAGCCGCGGGTGGAAGAAGGACCGCACGCCCTAGGTCGCGCCGTCGGGACGAGAGGGTTGCGCGGGGGTTAACGTTATCGGGCGCGGTGGCCCTTGGCAGGGTGGTTTGCCAGGGTCGACAAAGCACCGGATGGTAAAGCCCTGTTCCTGGGCGTGCACCCACGAGCTTGCGGGCGGAGCTTCGACGGCACGCCTACTACGAAGCTTTCGTGTCGAACCACGAAGACCGGCGCGTTCGTTCTACGTCCAGGACGGTGTACCCCCACCTCGGGGGTGCCCTCTCGCCGGGCTCTCTCTCTTTCCATCCGGAGCTTTTTCGAGGTAAGGACGAGCCTCGCCACCTTACGACAGGCACACAGACGTCTCTTCCGCGAGCGTGTACACGTTTATCCGAGGTACGGGGAGGGAGTGGACTGGGAAGAAGGGAGTAAACGCGCGAAGGAGAAACGGTCGAGGCGGGCTGGCTCGCTACGAGAAAAGCCGGGT